AATGTTTATAGATTTTAAATAATCTTTTTTTTCCAAATTTCAGACATGGTATTACAGAGACGCGTTTAGCAGTAATTTATATTGTAGGCGAAGGTATATTTTCATTTTATAAATCATCTCTTCCTTGAGAGTTCTATCCTTATAAGTACATGCTTTCAACAACGTTTTCAGGAAAAATGTATTATGTATGGCTTCTATCATTCTGCATAAACTTCGCTTATTACAGTGTAGTGATTTACGAAATCATAAAGAGATGGAAAGAAATAAATTCTATCTACGTTTGGAAAAGCAAAGGAACCAAGAACAATAAATAATGACACAATTAGTAAAACTCATACAAATTTTCACCATTAAAAAATTTCCGCTATCGTATTTTAATGAATAAAATTTGAGATATTGATTCTAAGACGTGGCGCGACTTTATTTTCGCTGGGTTAAGTACTACTGAAACAACTCTTCAATAACATTCAGTCACTATATGCAATCAGTATCGCTGCAATGCATAGTGTACCTGAACAATTCAACCATTACCATATTTTTAATTTAAATAAATTTGCGTACAGCAACTATCAAATTTTTTTGCAAAAAGCAAAGTAACATAAATGAACTTACTTCACCAATGCTGTCGTTGAAAAACTTCATCACTTCTTCACCAACACAGTCCTTCGGTATATTACCAACATATACTGTGCGACGGATTTCTTCTACTTTTGATGCTTCTGTATTCGCACTCAGTGTTGGATACGGTGGTAAGCCAAGTGCAGCCAATGTTGGGTCCACTGTAAGCAACTGAAAATAGCATGTCAATTTAAAAAGCTGTCAGCAAAGATTGGGAACTATGACTTCTGAATTTCACCAGCTCATAACAATATAACTCAAACAATTGCTTTTTTTTTGAGCAGATAAGCAGAAATTTTCTTTTTGCATGTATAGATTTAATAAATCACATTTCAATCAATAAAAAACAATTGCTTGACGTGGAAGAATGTTATGAGCTGCAGGTAAAACTTGGTTTTCTTTTCATGTAAAACTAAAAATATAGACACATGTATGCTCAGAACAAGGGCCGTCTTCGTGCTGAGATGCCACGGAGGACCCACCAAATTCCGACTTCGGTATTGCACAATTTGTATTTGTATATGTGGATGTGCATGATTTCACAATTCAATCACTCTATACCAATTTACTGAAATAGAAATTTAAATAAAGATAATAGGACAGCTGCTGCTGAATTTTCCTGTCAAAGCAATCTCCATGAACTTGGCTCCAGAAATAATGGCCAAGAATTCCATCCAGCAAAAGCGATATTTCTCCGTTATTCTGGACTTTTTTTCGAACCTTCAAAAATTTACAGCTTCTCTCAAATCAGCGAAACGCATGTAATGGGGTGGACAAGAGAATAGACACTAATTACTTAAGAATGTAATAGTGAAATCAGATGAGTTCATAAATTATCATAACAAAAATTGTTGATGGATTACAAGTGCCGACCCATCAATTCAATTCAATTCATCAATTTTGTCGATTTAAATCTCCTCAGAAGATTTCATACTGTCTATCATTTGGTAAAACAGACCCTCTAGTGTCTTAATTGATAACTAAATCAGAGATCTTAAGCGACAAACAGCAATAAGCGTTTCAACGGCGATCTGTAATCGACAAAGCTGAAACAAATGAAACACATATTATAGTGTGTTTTCCTAATATCAATGTGGTCAAATTTAAAATACAGGTGAACTGGGAAGAGTTGTTTCATCCTTAAATCTCTCACCTTTACCTTCTCTTTCCCACCTCGATCAGCTGCTCCTAAAAAAGTGGCTTCGATTTAATAATTTGACATAATCAAAAATAAAATAACCATTTGTTGCCCGTCTCCCAAATCCTGGACTTGATTAACAACATTTGGTGGTAATTGACGCTGCCCTGGCCATGCTGGCCCACCTGTTTTCAGTGCTGTATCCTCATCCGGTATTATATCTACAAAAATGTTTTTTATTATATAAAATTTATAGGTCTCATCATGTCATTTGAGAACTAGCGAGTTCAGTCTTATGTAAGTTAAATAATTATCATAATCAAAAGATCTCTGAACAGACTAATAACCTTCCAGCACTCGAGTAAATAGAATATAAATAGAGGGGAGAGGGGAGGGGGGGAGGAAACGAACAAGACTGTTCATGTTTACAGTTCAGCAAAAACTAGCTGTAATATGAAAATTGCCGCTACACAACAATTCATTAATTTCAAGCGGATTCGCTCCAGCTATAAAGAGACAAACAACTTGAAATTTATAATTGGACAGAAACCAAGAATCACCTGATATAGATGGGATGCAAACAAGAGCACGATCGATAAAGACAGTGTTCGTCAGGTGCTGCGCCACTTCGACCGATTTCTGATCTTCAAATTTAACGTACGCAAATTTCTGAGTAAATGTCGATAACTGTGGATGATTATCAGAAGGGTAAATCTGAACGAATTCAATTATTATTGAACAAGCAATGAACAGTGTTACTATCCACGACAAACTTCCTTCTCATCTCTGAGTAATTTCCTTTAGAAACAATCACGAGATAAATAATAAAGCACTCCTCGTCCCATCATTTTTTCGATCTCCCCGCTGGATGTTAGATTCTGGCATCGATAAAAATGAGATCAAAATATGAAGGCGAAAACAGAGGCTAAGAACACATATAACAGCACCTAGAACAAATAATTTTCCTCATATTACGGAAAATTTAAGTTGATGACAGTTTAATTCTGCTAGGTAGTTTAATTCTGTGAATAGATCTAACCTTAAATTCGTCAATTCGTCCAATAAAAGCAAAAAGTTGATATATCTGCTCACGTGTTGCTGTGATCGAAATATTGCTAACATGTAGTACACGAAATCGTGGTTCATCTGCACCCATTGCTGCAAGGAAATTGCAACTTTTTTAAAGCTTCAAACACACAGCACGATCCTAATGAAGAAAGAAAGGTCAAAGAATGGTGCGAACTGACACAAAGAAATAGCCATGAATTCAAAAAATGAATAAAATGATACTTATGGTATAAACATGTATAACATGTGTATTCAAGCAATGGAAACGAGAAGAGTGTAACCCACTCAAGGAATTTGCAAAAACGCATCGTACAACAATAGTTATAGATTGGATGAATCTTTGAAAAGACTATCGAACCGTTAATAAGCTGTATTAAGTAGCAGAAAGGATAACTACTTCTGAATTACTGTGCTCATCATATCATAACTATTCGCTTCTCTCAGCAAAAATCCTCCCAGGATTAAGTGAAATAAGGGCTGAACAAGCTTCCCTTATAGCAAGCTCAAATTAATCAGATTAACGTTTAGATAACAAAAAATATCTAATTAATGTAAAAATGAAGGTTGTTGAGAAAAAGGAATAAAGCAGCTATAAAAGAGGGAGAAATAGATCAGTACTAAACCATAATATCCTTCACACCCAAATTCCACGAGCCCAAAATAAACGCCTACCAATTAATTGAAGTCCGTATTCAGTCCAGTCCTCATCATTACACATCATTACACACTTTATGGTCTCACATATTCTTTGGGACGGTATGCAATAAAGAAATATCCGCAGAGCATGAATTTGTTAATATATGCTAAATGCTATGTCTGTTGTACTAATAATTTGTGATATTTATTATATTCTGGTCCAATTAGCTTCAATTATTTTATTCAACGCACCTTTCTATTACATTTATTTATTATTTTCTTAATTGTTTATCGCATTACTGTATCTAATGTATTCACTTACTAAATCTTATGCAGAAGTTTATCTATCTTACATTTCAAAATTTGCATCTTTTATCATTAATTCATAAGCAATAGAGAAGGGCTAAGCCTCGGTTATACTTTTGTTGCCACTTCCCTTGAGCAGTTCGCTTGTCGATAATGTCAGGTAATTCATGTATTCGATTCTGATGCTTCATGAATCCGACATAATCTGTAGTGCATATCACACGAAAAAGTTATTGTTCGTTAATATTAGGGGATTATTGAGGAATAAGATTTACTTTGCATGTGATTGGAGTGGTACGAAAGAATAGTAAGATCCGGAAAATGAGGAGTAGCATCCAGCTAATAAGCACACAGCGTAGAATGTAAAGTTAGATAAAGATTTTTGTTATACGAAAAGAGATTGACTCTTGTTAATTATAATGTTTTTATGACTACTAAATTTTATAAGTTAGCTTTACTTTCAAAAGATAGTGTTTCAGAAGAAAGGAAAGGTTTGACAGAGAACGAGTTGAAAAATTTACGAGCTCGTTTTAAAAGAAGACAAAACAAATTTTCAACCATAACGTATGAATTTAATGAGATTTGATTTTTCAAATCTTTGAAATTTCCCAATTTTTAATTTTCAAAAATTTTATATTCAATATATTTAGGCCGAATAATACTATCAGTATTAGTGATATTATCTTATAGATTATTTACATTATTACCATTAATCATTGGACCACGATCTCGATTTAATTTCTCTGAAAATAAAATAATAGAAATAATGCTATATATTCATGGGGATTGAAGGTAATAAATGCTATCTCGTTAAATTTTACTTTACCATAAAATCAGCTAATTGTTTCTCATTAATTTCAGCGGTCAAACACAAATAAGAATCAGTGCTGGTACTGCGCCTCAAATGTACACTGCTTGAAATATTTCAAAATTTAAAACTTTCTTTACTAGTTTAATTTTTGATTTTGAAAGGTCTAAAAAAAGGAATAAATTAAATGAAATGGTTTGACTACACATATTTTCATAATTGGTCATTTTACTGTTCTTGGAACAGAAAGACTTTGTTGAATTTAAATTCTATGAGGGCTTATAAATTTCCTTTAGTAGAGAAAATATATATGTGATGCTTTCCTTTATACTATTTCTAAACTAATACATAGAGTTCAATATAATAGATAATAAATTTCAGTGTTACATTTGCGCCCTCTAGTGGCTCTGACGAAGAGGAAGTGTTTGAAAAGGTCGATGTGGAAATTAGTCCGATAAACATTGAGACAAATAAAGGGTGTGTTTTTTGAAAAAAAATAAAACTAAAGAAAGGACACATTCCAAAGTTTATAAACAAGCTGATATGTTATCAGTTCGAATCTTATTATTGTTTAGTGCTTTCCAATGCATTCTTAACCATTTTGATATTCCAAAAAATTGTTGCCGAAAAGTGGTTCTAAAAATGAAAAGTGTAGTGAACTGCCGTAAAATCGAATGTTTTATATATTGAAATATAAATTAAATGAGAAATTATACATGAAAAGTAGCTATGCCTAATGATTTTTCTCAATTATTCGATTAGACACATATGATTTCTTGTTACATATTCCGCCTTTTGTAAATCCCAACTTTTAAAAGATCATTGAGATATGGTAGCGGAGATGGATGGTTTCAGAAGGTTATTTCAGAAGTTCAAAAATTGAAAAGATATTAGTCGGTCAAGTTAAGAGATAACAAATTATCCGAAATCTTAATTACCATACAGCTGATGTTCTACAATTCAGATTAATAATGTCATCATGGTTCCGTAATGTCATCAGTTATTCGGCTATTTTGTTTATACTTCAGGGAGAAAGGTGCGCTTTTGAACAAAGATGCGTTATTACAACCAAAAGGTGCAAATATATTACGAAAGGCAGATACAGTCGCACAAGGGAGCTGTTCGAAAAGCTCAAGTAAAACAGAGCAAGTCACTCAAAGTAGATCAACCTCTTCAACAACGGATTCTATAAACAAACCAGAGGCATCTATATCACCAGCACCACCGAAGAAAAGGATTAAATCAAAAGAGAAAAGTTCTGGAACGATTTCACCTCTAAAATCCAAAACTGTAAAGATAAAGAGCGTTGAATCACAACCAACGAAAATAAAAGGAAAAGTCAAAGAAGGTGTAGATGAAAGAAAAAAGCATGATAGTAAGAATAAAAAGAGAAAAGAAGAGAAAAACAAAAGTCATGGAGAGTTTAAAATCCATGAAAAAAAGATAAAAAGATCAAAAAATCATAAAATAAAAGAAGATATAAAGGATATGCAAGAAAAGAAAGGAATGGGAATTGTGTTGACAAAAAGCGAAGAGAAAAATCCGAAAGACATAAAAGTGTTGCATGCAAATGTGGAAGGATTGGAAAATGTAGTAGCATTGGAGAATGAGAAGTTAATAAAAATTTCAGGAAAACAAGTAAAGTCGGAGACATCAAAGTTCAATTCATATAAGGTATCCATTCATATAAGGTATTTTTACATACTTATCAAATCCCTTTGCTGTTTTGCAAGATCAATTAATTAACTGAACTTATTTTTTTTAAATGTTTTAAAAGAAGTGAAAGGATTAAAAAAGGAAATGTCAGCTGCTAAAATTATGGGCGTTGGACAGTCTCTTTCGGGTCTAAGGAGACTGTTCAACGTCCATAAATTAAGCTTGTTTTTTTTATAATTAACTTAATATCTTTTGAAAATTCCGGAAAGCATTTCTAAAACAAATCGTATAAAATTGAATTAATACAGAGACATCTGCTTCATTGCTTAACAAAACAACAACATATTATGAATGAATGTGAGATATCTGTGATAGATATTCATAAATTGTATAAAAATGAAATTTAAGATATAAGAAAATGATAGTGATTTTCAGTCACCAATTAAAGCAGAATCATTACCAGCAAATATTTCTTTAGGTAAGTAATTACTTTATATGTTTTAAATGTTTTAAGAAAAACCGTGATTTTAGAAATTTCCAAGAATTGGCAAAAGCACTCCGTCGGAAATTATCATAAATAGTGCTAAAAGATCGGTCATTGTTAACATCACTTTAACTTTGTCTTAAATTTTTAAACGTTAATTGATTATAATCTAGAAGGATATCCACAAAACACATCTGATATTAATTTGTTGCTAAAACCGATCGAAATGACGAAAAAAGACCAATTACTGTATGAAAAAATGGACGATGAAATTGTGTTGGATACCAATTTGCTACAATCATTGGCTACTGATTTAGTGACAGAATCTAGTAAAGTGAATAAAGATATAATAGGTAAAATATTTGAGAACATAATTTTTACATAAATTCAATTTGTTTCGATGCATTGAATTTGTACTTAATGTTGATCTCTTCAATTTGTTCACTTTAGAAATCGTATCAAAAATATTAGACTAAAATAATATGCATAATAATCAACGAAGAAGGTTATTTAATGAAAAGAAATTATGAACTGCAGGAGAAGATATTGCTAAAAAGTTAATTGAAATCGAGAAAAATGACAAACCATTAATAGAAGATCATATCAAAGATGAAAAAGAGGTCTTACATTTGTCTAATCACTTTGAACATAATTCTGTTTTAATTTGAAATCATTAAATTTGAATGCTTCAAATTGGTCATTATTGTGAAATCACAAATTAACAATATTTAATGGAAGTTTATAAAAAATTCACATTCTTATCACTTATCTATGCAGGTTGTAATATCCGAGACTGCAAGGAGAATAGTAGAAGCATTAACATCCAATCAAGTCCTTGGTAAAGTACTAACACCGGAAGAAGCTACTATTTTAAGAGATTATTTCAGTCGAAAAATACCGCTAAGTGAACAGGTTTTTCATAAATTACTACCGCAAGTAAAGATTCAGAGAAGAATGAAACGGTTGGTTAATAAGAAAAATTGAGGAATACTTCAGACATTTTCTTTCGGTTTCTAACTTTAAATTACTTATCGTTTAATTAGCTGAGAAAGTTTGTCATCATGTGTTTATAATTTTCACTGGACATATATATTACACCTAAGAACTTACAAATTAACCTTTTATAATTTTGGTTCTCAATTTGTCCTGAGAAAATCACTGATGTTTGATTATTAACGTGTTGACAAATGATAAAAGATATAAATGGATTAACTAATATTCTATGACAGGTTCTTGCAACGTTGGATACAGCACTTGACAAAATTTTATGCCGCGCATATGAATTTTATGATGATAAGAAAGAACTGGATGCATTCCTAAAAGATCGAGATTCTGCAAAAGGAAAACTTCTCGATGCACTTATAGCCAAGAAGTCAAATTATCTAGCTGATTTAATGAGTGATGCTAGTTTCTATGCTGATCGAATCAGTAAAGGATTAATTGATGTTTATAAATTAGCAACGGAAGGAATTCTAGGTAAGTGTATGAAAATAATGTAGGGAAGGGGATAAACAGAAACATTGACGAACCGTTGCTTAAATATTCCTTTGATTCTAAAGAATTTTAATTCTCTTTTCTGGAAAATAGATTCCTTTTATTTATTCATTTCAATTCTATACTGTTTCCAGTTGCTCGTGATAACTTGCAATACATGCAAGCTGCAGTCGGCCATACATATCGCTATTCCAAAGATATGGCATACCGTGGCGCTGCACTGACTTACGAAACAGCTGCACGCGGCAAAGAATTGGCCGAAATTGGTGCTTCCGTTGGCGCACAAATGACATATGATGCGGCAAAAATGACATTAGATGCTGCAGTTCGTGGGAAAGAACTTGCAGAACAAGGTGCAGCAATCGGCACAAAAATGACATCCGATGCCGCAAAAATAACGTTAGATGCTGCAGTTCGAGGAAAAGAACTTGCAGAACGAGGCGCAGCGATCGGTACAAAAATGACGTCTGATGCCGCAAAAATGACGTTAGACGCTGCAGTCCGAGGAAAAGAACTTGCAGAACGAGGCGCAGCGATCGGTACAAAAATGACGTCTGATGCCGCAAAAATGACGTTAGACGCCGCAGTCCGAGGAAAAGAACTTGCAGAACGAGGCGCAGCGATCGGTACAAAAATGACGTCTGATGCCGCAAAAATGACGTTAGATGCTGCAGTCCGAGGAAAAGAACTTGCAGAACGAGGCGCAGCGATCGGTACAAAAATGACGTCTGATGCCGCAAAAATGACGTTAGACGCTGCAGTCTTCGGAAAAGAACTTGCAGAACGAGGTGCAGCGATCGGCACAACAATTGCATCTGATGCCGCAAAAATGACATACGATGTCACTAATCGCGGTAAGGAACTTGCAGGGCTTGGCGTAGCAATTGGAGCAAAAGTGACGCAAGATGCTGCCTCCAAAGGATTGCAAATTGCAGAAGGAACAATTCACATTGCTTCTAAAGGTATCATCAGGCTAGATTTCTTAACATCCAAAATGTAAACTTTAATATCTGTTTCACTCAAAAACTTTTGGATGTGTAAATATCTTAATGAGATCTGCATAAATATGAAATTAAGGGAAGGAAATGGTGAAAGACAGTTTGACAGCAGTAAGCAGTACTAGTCTTGATCTCTCCGAGACCGCTCTTGAAAGTGCACTTGAAGCCACTAAACTGGTAAAACAATTCCACATCTTGCCTATTTTTATAAGTTCCTTCATCTTTGTAAGTTCCTTATAAGTTCCTTCATAAGCTGTAAGTTCCTTATAAGTTCATAATTTTTATAAGTTCCTTCATAAGCTGTTCATATAAAACGATTACTTTTTTAGCTGTGCAACATTTGCGCTCATTTGTACCTCATTAGTACTTGAGATCATCCCAAGAGAATAGCTAGACGGAAACATTAGTAAAGTTTTCAGTTTAACTGAACTGTGGCCGATTTCGCTAAACTAATGTAAGATACAATGATGTTTTGAATTGCATGCCATAATATCTTGAAGTTTCTTTCCATAAGAAACAAAAATTCCTCGAAACAGCAGTACTCGCAATTGAAATTTCTTGAAAGTTAAACCGCAAGTAATGTAACCCGTTTTTTATGGGGTAGTGAGATGAATATATCAGGAAATATCAATCCTATATCTCCATCTAATTGATAGTAATGCTTTGATCGATGCAATTGTAAACTTAATCATATTCATCAAAGCATTGAACTGCTAAAATCTGTGTTATCAAAGTTTTTCTAACTCTACTGCAACAGAAGTGAAAGCAAGATAAGCAGTTCATTCCTGTTAACACGCTAATTGCACGCTACAATAAAGCATAATTAAGCTCAACTTGTTTCATCAACTTTCCATTTTTCAATGAGGGATATCCTCTGTAAACGAAAATAATTATTCTTCTCTAACAACAAACAATAAATGATTTCACAAACACAATATACGAACCAAATAAGTAGGCTATAAAGTAGAAAAGTAATTTTGTCACAAAACTTCATCTATTTCATTTAAACATAATTAAAGCCTAATTTGCATTGTGTAAAAAATGGATGAATACTTTTATAGAATTTCGTTTAGGTTGGTAAAAAAGTACAAGATTTTACCGGTGCAATGAATCAAGCTAAATCGGGTACACCTTCATAGTTTCTAATTCCTTATCACTAAGAATAAATCAAAGATGGTTAGAATGTACAAATTAGTACATTTCTTTCATAATTTCCATCATTTAAGTGAATTTAATTTAAATATAAAATTGATTTATATTGAATGAATATGAGATAGCTACAAAGAATTTAGTATTTCAGAAATTCAAAAATCTAGCGAATGGTTTTTGTCATTTTTTCAACCATCTACAACGACATCTGAAACATCAAGTAAGTTTCAAAGTACAGGTTATCATCAAAGAGATCTTACATGTCGTTTTCGGGCAATGGTTCAAATTTATTTCCACTATCATAATTGTTTGGAAAGATTGATATTGGGATACAATAAGGCTTAGCTTGATGATAGTTCTTCGAGACGACTCATACAGCAATGCGAATTATAGGCACTTTAAAAGAAGTAGAAGATAATGACGACGACTCAAATGATGACGAGAGCGATAAGGATGAAACAAGTTTATCATCAAATAAGAAAAGTGGAGTGGTGGATGAATAACAATAAAATTAAAAAACATATTTCTCATTCACAGATGTATGTAATTGTTTGAAGTCTTAAGTAATTAATTTATTCTTATCACTTTCCATCTTGATAAATAACCACTATGTTCATTCGTGATAATGTAAAGTACATTTATTTAGATTAGGATTCCATCAACAATCTCCATGGCTACTCAACATTCAACAACATCTTGGCTTACAGCACTTGCATCATCTCTCTGTTATTTTTAAATGTTCAGATTTTGTGGAAAAAAAATTAAAGTAAAGAATCGCAAGCAAACTGATGAATTCTTCAAAAATAGAAAGGAACTATACAAATGAAATGTTAACTGATAGCATACATAGAAACAGAATACTTAGTTGATACAATGCCGTTGCATTCCAACCGTCGCTCGCCAACCAGGGACGTATTTTTGAAGGGGAAAATGGGGATGACCCGGCTTTCCGCGGTACAAGTTCAAGGTAAAGATGTTGGGTATGATTTGTGATAAAGTTGGTGTGAAAAGATCACTGGAGGGATAAATGAAGATAAACTTGTTTTGTTGACCTTTTTGCTGCCATGTCTCAAAATATATATGTGATATTTTTGTGTTATTTAAAGGAGAGACTTGAATGTGAAATAAGTAAATGTGATGATGGGAATCGAGTTCATGTTTAATATCCACTAATGAATAAGTTGAATACCCATTTAAGTCCCTTCCTTCAAGCTTTATTTTTTTGATTTATGTCGTTTTTTTTTTTTTAAATTCACATCAAGCACGTTTTTATTTGATCTGCTATAATTCATATTTTGATTCCAAAAACAGCTTTAGTGAACTAAAGATTATAATCAAGAATAGTGATGGCTGTACGGTTGTTTGGTCGCGCTCATTTCGTAGACCTAGAAGAAGATGGTAATGCTGTAACAAGCCGTCAAAATACATCCTCTGTCGCAGTTGGCATCACAGCTGATAATTGTTCTGTTTGTATTATTGGTAAAGTTTTTTATTAATCAATTTTTTCGGTTCAGATGAATAGAATGGAGCGAAGCAAGTAGTTGGTAATATTCAAAAAGTTGGAATTTGCTCAAGTTATTTCAGATGAGGACGAGGTTGAATTATGGAGGTGGCCTATTCCAATGCTGAATGTATTCCGATTAGGCACCATGATGTTAGGTTTCCTGGATCGGGAAAATGATATGAAAATTGGAAGCACAAAGATTTTACATTTTAGAAATGCTAAGGGTATGTTTATCTTTACTGGGTTATTTATTATTGTAAGAAATCCCATTTGCTGCATTGTTTGCAGATAACTTTGCCACCTGTCTTATATTAGTTTTCTTTGAATTTTGCAGTTTTACTTGTGTTGACGGTAACGTTTTTGTTACTGCTAGGGGATTTTTTGCAACTGAAATAATTGACTACGCATTAATTATGGCGAAACATTAATCTTAAAGGAGATTCTTTCACTAGTATCAATATTAAATAATTTTAGAAATGTCCGAATTTTTAACGGCTCTTAAAATGTGCCAGGCGCTGAAATCTTTGCGACCATCATCACCGGTAAACGATGCTGAAAAAGTATCAGTATTTGATGCCCGAACCGAGTATGCATCGGCTACGCAGTATTTCCAGTTCTATGGGTACTTTTTTTTGGAATATAAAACAACGCATTTTACTTTTGATTTAAAAAATTGGAATTGCTTCTTTTTGTAAGGCTATTTTGAGATTCGAAACATTCCGTGATGGTAAGACTGTAGCATTCTAAATTCTGTTGAAGATAGTGGAAATAAATGAGAAGTTGAGAAATACTAAGAGATGGGTTTTGATTCACAAAATTAAGAAAGTGTTCACTTTTTAGATATTTATCGCAGCAGCAGAACATGATGCAAGATTATGTACGAACATCAACATATCAACGAGCCATTCATATAAATGCAAAAGATTTCATTGATAAGGTTAAAACTTGATAGACTTTTTTTGATCGCAATATCAATAAATGGTAACCTCGTAATTGTTTTTTGTGTAATAAACCTTTTAAAGGTGGTATTAGATGTGGGAGCAGGAAGTGGCATTCTTTCATTCTTCGCAGTACAATCTGGAGCTCGTCATGTCTATGCTGTGGAGGCAAGTTCAATGGCAGTACATTGTGAAGTTAGTTTCTTTATATATGTGGCATTTTGTATGTATACATGATTAGCAATAAATAAATAAAAAATCGAAAAAGAAGAAATGAGATATTACTTTGACTTGGAAAAGTTTTAAATTTTCAGGAACTTGTGCGACGTAATAACTTACTCCATAAGATAACAATTATTGCTGGGCGAGTAGAAGACATCACATTGCCGGAACCTGTAGATATCATTATATCAGAACCAATGGGATACATGCTTGTAAACGAACGAATGCTTGAAAGTTATATTCATGCAAGAAAATTCCTTAAACCAGGGGGTACATTTCAAATATTGCTATCCTATACAACTAATCCATGTTTTTTTTGTGCGAGGAATGATATAACAAAAACTACTTTCAAGTAATTTTACCCTCTTATTTTTTGTATCGATTCATTCGTTTTTTTGATAGAACGATAACTGCTCATAGAACATGTCAAGCACACTGATACACCACATACTTTTAAGTGTCACACTGCAACAAAATTCTTACATTAATCTTAAGTGCTGCTTTTTTTTCATTCACTTGTTTCAATTATACTTACTTACTTGATAGGCAGAATGTTTCCATCTCGTGGAGAATTACACATTGCTTTGTTTAACGATGAAGCTCTTTACATCGAACAAACATCAAAAGCAAATTTCTGGTGTCAGGAAAGTTTCCATGGTGTCAATTTATCCAGTCTGCGACCTCAGGCACTTGCTGAAATATTCAAGCAACCAGTTGTGGTAAGTGTGTAGTGAGAACGGTGCACTATAAACATTTTTCTTTCTTAAAGATATGTGTATACTTTGTTAGTACTTTGTTATATTTTATTAGAAGGTTTCTCCTTCCTAGTAGGATATGCAAGTTATTATGTCCTTTTTTTTAACTCAGTTATTTCTTTTTTGTTGAGATTGATCTTTTCAGGACACGTGGCACGTGAACTGTCTAATGTCGGGAAGTGTTAAATGGACCATAGATTTCGAAAAGGATCCTGAGTCATTGCTGCATAAAATCCACGTACCGTTTGAATTCCAAGTCACGAAAGCTGGACATGTTCATGGTATCGCATCCTGGTTCGATGTTGCTTTTATTGGTTCAACGTGAGTTTTAAATTTTATTATGACATTAATCAAAGAAAGCTAAATAATACGGAACCTAATCATTATAATGTCTTTTTTTTCATTCATTATTCAGTATATTGAATCCTAACTAGCAGATTAGTAGAATATTTGTAGTTTTCAATTTTTTCAAGTTTTGATTTGATAAAAATGAAACACTTGTGAAGAAATAAAGAACTTTCGTTCTAGAGTAATGTTTCTTTCTAGATTTCTAGAGTAATGTTTTTAGAGAAACAGTTTGGTTGTCTACCGCACCAACAGAACCCTTAACGCATTGGTATCAGGTTCGATGTCTTTTTGACAGACCACTGATGGTTTATGCTGGCCAGATTGTCCGAGGTGCTATCAGGATGCTTGCTAATGAGAGGTAATTGTGGAATTTTCTAGTAATTTAAACCAGTTATTCAAAATGTCAGTTTATTCGACAGGAAATTATTTGTTAAAAAGTAAAACTGGATGAAGTTTGAAATCAAATACAATTAAAAAGAAATAAATCGAATATAAAATCGAGTTGAAGTCTTCATGTTATAAAAACTCTACTCCACCTGTTTCCCATGTATTGACTAGTTAACAAAAGAACGCATTAAACACATGTTCCAGGCAGAGCTATGATGTTGAAATATGGGCGGAACTGGGGCAAACTCGAGTTAGCAACGCTTTGGATTTGAAAAATCCGTTGTTTCGATATACGGGCACAGCAGTCCTGCCTCCTGCTGGTTGCGCTAATGATTCTCCTTCCGACGCTTTGTTGCAGAATACTGGTGAGTTCTAAATCATTAGAACATTTCAACTTTTCATTTGGAACTTTCCGTAAAAATTATTAAGTTTTTCTTTATTTATATGGAATACAACTTCGATATGTTTAGACAGATTTCGTAGCAGCTAATAGTCAAGTGCAATAATTAGCTTAAATAATGCAAATAATGCTTTCTCTTCACAGGTACATCATGTTGAAATTTTAATTTCGGAAAATCTTCGTGCTTAATTTTCTTCGAAGTAATACTTTGGCTATGGGTTTTTGAGCTACAATTTTACTCATTACGGAAAATGTTCAGGATGACGTCTTTACTTGAGCACAGTGTGGAAAATTTTTGCTATGAAAAAATAAATTATATATACAATTTAGGGTTGCTATCGAACTTAACGACAGGTCAGATGGATTATTCGATGCATAACATGATAAATGGTTTTGCTGGTGGTTACTGTGGCACCCACACAAATGCGACGAATCCTGGAACATCTGCTGCTGCTGATGTTCCTTTAGCTGTTGCTGCACAGATGGTCCATACACAAGATGTGAACCGCGATATTTTTCGGATACGTAAGTTTGAATGCTTATAAAATTGACTGGTAATTCATCAAAAATACAGAGAAATCACTGATCGTTTTCACTGGATTAGTTATATCAACTGAACTATTTTTCTCTGTGAATATCTGCTCAGAAATTCAAAGTCAATACACAAAAGTGTACGTTCGGTGGAGCTAACAATACAATGAGTAAAAGTGTTTTTCAATCCTTCAATTTTCCATGCATACTAGGTCTCATTTTACATGTAGAACATTTAGTGAGAGCTGGAGACATTAAAGTCAGTTTAATAGTCGTTTTAATAATGGTGTCAAAACATTTAGCCTAATGATATCAAAACATTATTTGAGATAAGGGCTTAAGGACTAAAATTTCATTTTTTCTTGGAACATCGATAGTATTACTTAAAGTTTTGGTTGTATGCACTTTGCATACGAAA